AGGTCCTTCTGTTCTGTGCCATTAGAAATCTGTCTGTTTCTGTGTAAGTCTACTCAGCAGCAGCTTTCACTTCTGTACTGCCGCCTGCAAGACTGAACTGACAAGGCTTATGTGGAGAAAAAGACTTTAGGGATGATTTTTAGGCAGCTATCTGGAAGAACCGAGGAAAAAGGAAGATACTCAAGTGAGCACACTATTTTCACACTTGTTTACTTGTTTACTATATTTTACTGGCAGGTTACTTGGTATTTTTTATTATTTTTCCACACGCCCCACCATATATAGACACTTTTGTAAACTATTTTATGCTGTTTAGTTTCAAGACAGTTGAGTCAGTAGCATCTTCCTGGGTGTTTTTATGAAGCAGCATCCTGACAGAAGATCCTGTGTTCTCCCCGGAAGGGTGCAGTCAGTGATTAAATGTAAAATTCTGTCCAGGCAATGATGGAACCACATTAAACTGCCGCTGCCCATGGGCTATTTGACAGCTGTCTGCCTTGATGTGATATTTAAATCACTGTGAGGCTTGAAGTGAAAATACCAATTTGCAACCAAAACGTGCTTCTGAAGCATGAGAAACTTCAGATAAAAACAGCTCTAGACATTGCTTTGAAAGGTTTTTGATGAGCAAATTGCAAATATCGGCACTTGTAAGCTTGAAATATTGCCTATTAAAACAGAAAAGTGAATATTCTCATATGTAATCTCTCTTCCACCCAAGAAAATGAAATTAGATTGGATTAAGTTGAAAGCCCTAAAAATAGCTTTAACTCCTGCCTAGTCCAGATGGATGATTGGTCATCTTGCCTGGGTTCTGAACTCCTGGGAGAGTGGGACAATGTCTGCTTATGGTGTCCAGACAGCTTGTACAGTGCTTTGCCCTGGAAGCAGCTCAGCCTAGGTTTCTTTCCCTCAGATTCAGTGGAGCCTTCATCACTGAAGTTGACAGCTGCCACGTTTCTGTTCCTTAATGTGAAAAACTTGCATCTGGTGTCATCCAGCCATGTCTCTGCCCAACACCATTAAAGCCATGTTTCCTTTCTGCAGCAACAGACATAAACTTAAGGACATTTGTGAGCTGTCAGTATACTTGCGCATCCCTGAGTTGCCAGGTCCTCTCTGGTCCTCAAGACCAGCTTCAGAGCAGGGGACCTGTTTGTCTCCTAGGCCTTTGCACTTAGCTGTCACCACCTTGAACTTATTAATAATTTTTTTAAACTAAGGAGCGACATGTTCTCATTTGCACTGGGCCCCACAAATTGTGTAGCTGCCTGCTGCTGATTCTTGCTGTCAGATAGTTCTGTCTATTACCATTGTCTGATAAAACCTTCCTTGGAGAGTTTATGTCTCCTGATGGTTTAGGCTTTTTTGTTTTGTTTTGTGGTGCTGGGGATCAAACCAGAGTCTCATCCGCTAGGTAAGTGCTCTCTACCACAGAGCTACACCCCCAGCCTTAGTGTCTTTTTAAAAGTACTAGTTTGTTACTAAAAGATTTGTAGAGCCCTTCTTCCATTCCCCTCCTGCTGCCTTTCCTGCAGTCTGAGGAGGCAGTGCTGTGGAGGTGCTGGCAGTAGCGTGCCTGGCACCGGGCGTGGTGCAGAATAAGGGAGGGAAGGCAGAGGGGGTCTGGAAGACTGGTTACATTGAGCACATAAGTTAAATGATTTAGCAAATGGGTAAATATCCCAAAGCTGAGAGCCGCTTTCTTACTGTCTGAAGGGATTTATATATACTAAAGGGTGGAAGGCTGAAAAGAACACCGAAACATGGCTCATACTGGAATTACCAGTCTGAACCTGCAGATTTTTAAATATATATGTAGAAATGGTTACAAATGAGTGTTTGTATATTACATGTAAATGCACACGATGGATGCATATCCACACATTTCTTACGTATATTGACAGCATCTAGAGGCAGTGCAGGCCCTGTGGTGGAGGTCGCCCGTGGGCTGGGTCACCTTGAGCAGAACAGTGGCAGGAGTGTGCACAGGAGCACTTCCATCACAGAGTGCACCAGGCTTGCTCCTTTCAGCCAGAGAGTTGCCATCCAAGAACACACCCCAATGACCTAAGGGCCTCCTGCTAGGCCCCACCTCCCAGCCCTACCATTCTGGGAACCAAGATTCTAACCCCAGTGAACCCTGGGAGCACTCCAACTGCATATAGCATTTTTTCATCTGCTTGTTCATAGGATCTGTAGTGATGTCCCCATTTCCATCTCTGATAGTAGTCATTTTTGCCCTCTCATTTCCCTTAGTTATCCTGGCTAGACTAGTTGATTTTATTTATCTTTTCAGAGAACCAGCTTTTGACTTCGTTGATCTTTCTCTACTGATTTTGTGTTAGATTAAGAATGAAAAAATGTTTTTACTCTTCACTTATTTTTGTTCAGTGTGCTTTTCTTTATGTAGATCTGAGTCTCTGACCTCCGTAATTTTCCTCTTGTTAAAGAATTTCTAACATTTCTTGCAGAGCAAAGGTGTTAGCAACAAATTCTCTCAACTTTTGTTTGTCTGAGAAAGTCTTTATTTCTCCTTTATCCTTTTGAAGGATAACTTCACAGGATAGAATTATAGGTTGTTGGATTTTTTTTTTCCTCAGCTTTAAATATCTCACTCCACTCTTCTATTTTACATGGTTTCTAAAGAGATGTTATGTGTAATTCTTAGTCTTTATTCCTCTGTAGGTAAGGTATTTTTCCCCTCTGGCTTCTTTAAGGAGATTTTCATTATCTTTGCTTTTCTGTTGGTTGAAAATGATATGACTAAGTAGGCTTTAGGGGCATCTATCCTTTTTGGTATCCTTTGAGCTTCCTGGATCTGTGTTCTGGTGTCTGATATTAGATTGGAGGAATTCTCAATCATATATTTATTTCAAATATTTCTCCTATTCTTTTCTCTTTTTACCCCGTTATTCCTGTTGCATATAAGTTAAAGCCTTTGTAGTTTTCATAGAGTCCTTTGAATATTCTGTTGTTGTCACTTTTATTGTTTTCCATCTTTGTTGGTTTTGCTTTTCCAGTTTGAGGTTTCCTTGGTAATGTTCTTGAAGATTTTTTTTTTTTTTTTTTTTTTTCCCCCCTCAGCCATAGCCATCTGCTGACAAGCCTGTCGAGGGCATTCTTCATTTTTGTGTTTTGGGATCTTGGCTTTCCATCTTTCTACTTATACACCTCTCTGTTCTTAAAATGATTTCTTCGTGTGCCCTAAAGAAAATATGCTAGGAAAATAAGTGTTGGGTAAGCTTCTTTGAGGCATGAATTACAGTGCTGTGGCCACAAGTTTATTGTTAATGAATCATCTATGTGTCACATAGATGTCTTTAAACAAAAACACACTTAAAACAGGTCATGTTTTGATCAGTCGAAGGTGTTTAGGGTTTCATAGGAACTGAACTCTGATCTGTAGGAGCAGTGTTTTAGTATTATTTTGCTCAGTATTCACAGCAACTTTTGCAATATTCACAACAACTCCCATGAATAACAGGAATTGAATTTTATTTTTCATGTAATGGTTGCCAGTTGCTTTATGAGATTAATTTTATACCACGTACAACAATGTTTAAAATTTTTCATGAATTATATGTTCATATATGTGATATATTGTTATATTTAATATATTTGTGAATAATTTATAGAATATTTTAAAGTTTAAAAGGATATTTAGAAGGCTTTACCTTTGGCTTCTATAGTGTAAAATAGTAAAATTTATACAGTATATTCATTTTTCTTGCTAAATAAATCATACCTTTTCCATTAATAGGCTTTATTGAGTTTCCTCTGATTACTAACTTTAGAGTAGATTGAATTTTAAGAAATTTTAGTTTTAAAAATAGAAATTGACTTTTCTATAAACTGTAAGTAACCACACTGTATTTAATGACACTCACTTGTAATCCCCTGGTGTGCCTGTCTTTATAGTGCTTTTATGGAAACTACCAACTTTCAGAGCCTAATAGACTTACGGATAGTGCTTTACACTAATTGATTGCCTTTTGATACTTTTGAGTGAAGAGTATCTTATTAGACTAGAATGGATGAATTAGCTCCTCGTATTTGGCATATGAAGGAATGAGTGAAAAGACAAGAAAAAGACTCAAGTTGGTGCAAAAGAAAAATGAGAAGAAAAGGTAACGCACATTTCACATCTTCGGATAGACCAACTGTTACACCTGACAAATTGGAGATTTGTTCTTTGAACAGGAAGCAGAAGTACTGAACATATTCTTTCTCTGGATTTTTTTTTTTCTTAGAGATACTCTAATGTATACTAATTGTTTTTTCTAGAGGTGGTGGCTGAGGCAACTAAAATGCAAATCATAACTTCAACTTTTGATTGAAGTCTTCTTGGCACCCAGCACTTTATGCTATATTAATACTAAGGGATGAATTTTATCTCGTTTTGACTTTAGGCAAGCTATTATTATTATTATTTTAATGCAGAGTCACATGTAATACAGATTTTTGAGAAGTGAAGAAAGAAAAATATATTGAAACCAGTTACTGGCTGTGCCAGGCATTTGAGTTTCCCATTTCCTTTCATCCAGCACTTCATGGAAAAGTGTTTGTAAGCTATAAAGTAGTGCATTGGTAGAAATCACTGTGTCACCCCATTACACAGATTGAACTTTATTAGTAAACCGATTTTATTTCATGTTTTATTTACTGTAAATGTCTCTTCAGCCAAAAATTCTTAGTAATAGTCAATGGGCATTTGGGCTTTCGGTTTGTACTTTCAAATTTGATAAAATGATTTCTGTCAGATGTTTCTCACCAGAACTCTGAGAAGCTGACAAAAATTAGTATTTTAAGTTGGAAAACTGAAGCCTGGGGAAGCTTTGGACCTTCCTTCCTGGTTAGGCTCTTTGGCCTCTGCTTTCCTGTCTGCTCTGCTTCATAGGTTTTTGTTTTGTTTTGCTCTTCCTCTTGTTAATATCCTTCCCTTAACTGCTGTGGAAAATGCATGGCATTTTGCCACAGCTGTTGTCTTTCTTCTGCAGAGACATTCCCATGCCCTTAGTCAGCTCGGGAGTGGAGCATGGCAACCTGAGAGAGCTGGCTTTTGCAAGAATGAAAGACCTTGGAATACAGGTACGATATAGTTGCCACACCGTTCTGCTGAGGAAGAAAGTCACCCTAGCCAAAAATCTTTGGTACAGTGCCTCTTAAAAACCACTCTTAGTCCGATCAGAGTTTTCATGTGTTAAAGGCACTCTGCGACATGCACAAGCTGAAGCAAGTGGCAGGAAAGCTGACCCCTGGCTGTTTCTTCACTTCTGCTTTCTCCTACCAAAGAGCATGACTTTGTCAATCTAGTGGCTCTTTTTTTCTACCTGTGATTGAAACTATGATCTCATAGTTTGCTATAACTGCCTCCTATACTGTTGTGATTGCATACCGTGTGTTCAGCTCCTTTTTCTTTTGAAGTAGTGGGTATTGGTTTTTTACCAAAGATAATGTAAATTATAGAAGAATAAGAAATTATAGAATTTAGAATTAGAACTATAGAATTTATATAGGCTTCATATACATTATAGAATTTAGATTTAGAGAATATACAGTTGGAAGTTATAGAAGAGTAAGATGTGATTCCTCAAAAGAAATGATCCATTTGAACAGATAAGGATTGTGTGCTGGAAATCATTATCAGACAGTATTATTGCCCCACATATACCTGGCTACCTCACCACAACACACCCCTGTGTTTATTCAAGTCACTTATTTGCTTTTTGGACATTTACTGAGCACCTCCTCTCTGATGACCTTGAAAGAACAAAGGAACCTGGAATTTAAAGTCTCCGTAAGTGATTCCTGAGTCTGTCAAGCGGTAGTGAGGTTTGAGACTCCATGCCCTGGAACTTCTTTGAGCTGCTGGAGACGTCGCCAGGAGTGGTGTCCGGCCAGGGCATCTTTTGGGGCTCTGCCTTCAGAGATTTGGGTTCAGTCAGTTGGACAGGGCCTGAGCAGCTGTCAACTGCAAACGTGGTTCTCGCGCACAATTCCAGCGGAGACCGTGCTTTGGAAGATGTTGCTCCAAAGATTTCATAGTTTGTGGACTACCTAGGACAGTTTATACTCTCACTCAAGTTATTATGAAGAAAAATTTTAGAAAGGTGTCCAAAATAAGGTTCATAAATATTATTGGCCTACTCTACCAACAACAAAAAAAGATGAAAAATATGAAGTTCTAGAAAAGAAGCAAATCCATTTAGAGTAATTAACAGCACCAAATGAGACTGTGTGCTGTTCTCCATCCCTTCAGCCCCTGCCTTGCCTGTTACTGACAGTCTTCTTCTCTAACCTCCTCCCCGCTCGTAAGCCTGGCCAGTCTCTCTTAAGTAGACTGGGATCGATCGGTCCCAAAGGTTTGCACTCAGTCATAGCCAAGAGATGTATCATTCCCTTAGGCAGCGTCTTTACCAGAAAGGAAATGTACACCATCTTTGCCTTTAAAATATCATGCACCCCCCACCAAAAAAGAAAAGGAAGAAAGCAGCAAGTGAGTGTTTGTTGAGAGCATGTAACAGATACATGGACGCGAAACTACTGTGTAGGACTACGGTAGTGAAAAGACAGCATCCACGTTTACCAGGTTGGCAGGTACAGAACTGCGTGGCCCTTATTTGCTATGTAATCTACACCATCAAAGTATTGTCTCTTAGACTGGTTCCCGAGGCATGGAGATAGCTTTCCTTGTTTTTTGTTTTGTTGTAGACTTGAATAATAAGTTCCCATTTTCTTTATGGAATTCCATGCATATATAACAATCCTTCATAAATATGTTATTAGAGAAATAGCTTTCCTGATATCAGATTTCCTACAGTGATACTTTCTCTCTAGTGGAAAATATTAGGATCCTGAAAATAATGTTTTACTTTGTTATACATATAGGGAAAAATATACCATAAGACATGTAAGTGAATAATATGATTTTATAATGTCATGAATTTGCTTTTTACTCTTCTGCATACACAGTTTGGGATTATGCTTTCAGATAGCTATATCTACTGGGAAAAATGATTTTCTGACTTTATGGCTTATGCCTTACCCCCAAGGTTATATTACATGTTGGTTTCTTTTGAATTCTAAATTTATTTTAAAAGCAAAAGAGTACAACTTCATAAACTTCCATCTGGTTTCCCTCATCACCAAATTTATTAAAGATGGGTTCCTTTTTAAAATTCAGTTATTTTATGTCAATACAAGTTATATCCAAACTTTATTTAGAGTCCAGGGTTTAATTTCATAAAAAGAGTTTAAAATAAACATTGTATTAGTTACCAATTTAATCACCCCACACCTTTTTTTTGTTTTTTTAATGACAGTGTCGGGATGTGAGAACCAGAGAGGTTGGAATCCAGGAAATTCATCACAAAGTACGGCCATACCAGGTTAGTTTCTTTTAGATCTTTGCCAAGGCTGGATCCCCTTAGCTCCTCCTTGGTTGAAGAACTCGGAGCAGAGGGTGATTGAAGATTACAGACAGATGTCAAGTCAGGAAAGCTAAATAGGAAGCTCACTGAATTGCAGAAGAGGCAGGTTATGAAAACTGAGTCTGCCCCTCATTCTAGATCAGCACTGACCAACACTCCCTGTGGGGTAGGAAATGTTCTGGATCTGAGCTGTTGCGTGTGGTAGCCACAAGTTGTATGGGACCGTCAAGCACTTGGAATATGACTACTACAAAGAAAGAACTAAGGTTTAGTTTTATCCTCCTCCAATTAATTCAGGTGTGGATGGCCACACGCTAGTGGCTGCCCTCAGGTAGAGCTTACTGCATGTCTCTTTGTGTCCTAGTGGTGCTAGTCACATGATGATGGCTTTATCAGCAGGGGACCCCACTGCCCTGACCCCACTGTTCGTTATATGCATTGAATTAACTTCCTTCCTCTGCATCTGTAGTGTCTAGCTATGTACAGCTAGGCACTGGGGTGTAACTCTGGTGGACCCGTTTGAGAAACGCTGAAATATAAAAGGTATGATCTCTTGAGTTGATGTTTCTGTTCATATTTAATTGACATTTCATACATTTTGGATCTCTTGAGAGAAAAATCAGACCCAACGTAGTTAATCATTTTGTCAAATTCGTGTACAGTTCAGTTGTTCAGCAAAAATTAAGTTGAGAAGGCATAAAATGTTGGTCTGGATTGCTTACCTCATGTCAAGGATAACCTGCCTAAGGAACAATAGACTGGTAACTTTTTTTTTTTTTTTTTTTTTTTTCCTAAAAGAAGTTTTATTGGAGGAAATAAGGATTTAAAAATGTAAACATTGAGCATCTGCCAGTTTGGGGCCAAAGAAGGAGTGTTCCTAAGAGCTGTCAGTGTGACATAATGTGTACTTTTTATCTTGGAGACAGTTCATGGACAATCAAAGATTTAAATATACAGACGCATTTACTGAGCTGCAGATTATATGTATATATATATGAATCCCAAGGTTAATGAAGTTCAAATATTTATAAAATTGTTCTCCATTTTAACAGTCCATGAATAAAGCATGAACTCTTATTTAATCTCAATGCTATTTGAGAGGAGACAAGTAAAAAGAAACATAATTAGGGATGATTCATTCTTTATTCCTATTAGCCAAAATAAATACATGCAATTATAAAAATAATTCTGGTTCTGGAGTTTGAAAAAAAAAAATCTATTTCTTGTGGCTTTGTATTCAACAGGTTGAGCTGGTGAGGAGAGATTATGTTGCAAATGGCGGCTGGGAGACTTTCCTGTCGTATGAAGACCCTGAGCAAGACATTCTGATCGGCCTCCTGCGGTTGCGCAAGTGTTCGGAGGAAACCTTCCGCTTCGAGCTGGGTGGAGGTGTTTCCATCGTGCGAGAGCTGCATGTGTATGGAAGTGTAGTCCCTGTGAGCAGCCGGGATCCTACTAAGTTTCAGCACCAGGTAGCCTGTTTTCTGTTTCTGTTCAGCTTATGATTAAGAAAGCACTCAATCAGAAAAGAGAAAGAATGGGGTGAGGAGAGAAAGAGGAGCAAATGGGGAAGGGAAAGCAGAAACAAAAGAATCCATATTTTAGACACTCGCCTGTGTTTTCTCTCCACATCACTCCCTTTTGGGAGTGCTGGGGCCAGAGGGAAGGACAGGTAGCTCTGCCAAGTTGGATGTATGGACTGAGCCATGTGAAGGTACTGCTTTTGGAAGTCAGAAGTCATCTAATGTTGGCAATTTTATATGACTCAATTTACTGTGGATCCAAGGAGATGATGTGAAAGTGCTTATAAAATACTAAAGCACTCCATAAATGTTAACTATAGTATGTAAAGTGGAACTCTGATCCCAAACAATCTAAGTGAGTAAGTCTAAAGTAAGGAAAATGTGTTAAAAACATCAAGGTGGAAGTAGGGTAAGCCCCAAGATTGATAATGTAAAACTCTTGCTTGGTTTCTAAACCTCTATGGGGAGTGGAGGATGGACGAGTAAATAAAAGCTTAGTGCCCGAAGAACCCTGCCACCTGGAGATTGCCTGGGTCTTACCTAAAAAGACCAGACAGTTAAGTGGGAATAACCCCCTTGCTGTGACTCGAATCTGTCATTCAGAGTAGCGTTTGGTAGCTCTCGTTGGAGAGTTTAACTTTTTTTACTGGTCAGTCACCATGTAGTTTTGGTACAGTTGAATGGGTTTTCTTTTCCTTTTTATAAAAAGATTTTTGTCATCCTTTCTAACAGCTTTTAGCAACTAGTGAATTCTAGCCTTCTTGTTTTCTAGCCTTCTTCTTTCTCGTTGGATTACCTCCCCTTTATAATCTTCCAACCCCTCTGTTTCTCATTTTAGGGGTTTGGCATGCTGCTGATGGAGGAAGCGGAAAGAATAGCTCTAGAAGAACACGGATCCGGGAAAATAGCTGTTATATCAGGTAACCTGGGAGGACAGGGTTGATGATTCAGGCACATTTTGAGCTTGGTACAACGGTAAGATCCAGCTCAGTATTCTCTTGCCCCTTTCTGTGATTTGTGCATTCATTCGTGCACCAGACTGATAGGGAAGGACTAGTGCCCAGCACTCAGGATGTGCGTGAAAGCAGGAGGTGGACTGGAGCTTTGAGCCCTCCTGCTCTCCACTGGCCACCATAGTCAGCACCTCTCGTGTGCTTTGTTCCCAAATACAAGTCTGGGCAAATGGACTTAGAGGATATGGATTCTAGAAAAATGTAAGCCAGCCTGGAGATGATTGCTGTTGTTCAGAAAATTGAAATAGAACCTCAGTTCCAGTACAGGACGCTTCAAGGCAGAGTTCTTCCTCCTTCAGTACCATTCTTTGTGACAGAGTTCCTGGGGAACAGCTGTCCCCTGTCTAGGAAAGCAGGGGAGGAAAAAAACTGCCTCGGCCCCTAGGGTCCTTGGCTGCATCAGAAAATTAAAGTGGCAAAGGCAAAATGACAAGGAAAACACATACAGATTTATTTCATACAAATTCTACAGAACACAGGAACCTTCAAAGGGAAATAAAGACCCAAAGAAATAGTTCAAACCCGAGTGTTTTCAAGCTAGGTTTAATCAAGAGTGAACATCTTGGGAAAATATGATGGGACCACAGAGTGTGAGCTAAGGATGACCAGCGGGGAAACAACAAGGCCTGTCCTTGAGATCCTGCTCATCATCTGTCTACCCTCAGAGATGAACATGCTCCTCTCCCGAAGTCTTGGCAAGGTACCTCTCCTAGCAAGGTTGCAGGACCTGCTGCAACAGAAAAGGGCAAAGGAAGATCAGAGAGTCTTTCCTGCACCTGCATCCTCTAGTTCTTCCAGCTTAGAACTTGCATATGCGAGGCACCCATTGGGGAATAGTGAGTTCTCCACCTGGTCAGAAGCTCTCCTACTCCTTACCGAGGCCATGGGATAATTGGAGGGTGGCCAAGAAAGGGAATTCCGGTGTTAACACAGCAGGAAATGAAATGTGCCCTCTTCATTCCTACCCTGTGCTGTTGTGTCCCTACCAAAATGAAATTCCTAGTAGGAAGCTTAGCCGGTGAAAGCCCGGATCAAAATGTATATGATTTATTTCCCAAAAAAATTTATTTTCCTATCAGACTATCACATTCCAAAAACTAAACTGCACCTTCTGTGAAAATAATCTTTTCTGAAAATTCAACTGTAACTAAGTTGAAATGGGATTTTTTGGAAAAAGTAAGCTGTTGCCATTCAATAAATTAATACCCATACCCAGGTCTTAAATATTATAATTGTGAAAATATAATCACCCAGGCTCACTTAACCATTTAGTCTGGCTGTGTTTTTTTGTTTTGTTTTGTTTTTGTTTTTGTTTTTCTTTGGTGTTGCTCAGATTAATGAAGGATTTCTTAACCTGTCTAGCTTTATATATTTTCCTTGTCATCTTCAGTCCACATAGAAGAGTTGGCTAAATGAGGCTCACTTGACCAATACTGGTAGCTATAGTAAGTGTTTACTTCTCAGGTGGATAGCCTAGGTTGACCAGAAGTAGCAAGAAAGCCTGCCTGACTTCAGACACATTCTGCACGCGGATCTGTGCAGGCCCGGTAACACCTGAAATTGTCATGACCCCTTTTTCCAGCATATGGTCAGCATTTCCATTAGAGAACTTCTGAGACTTTTAATGGGCTTCGGAATCACTTAGAGAACTTGTTAAAATGCAGATCCTGACTCGTGAGGAGCCAGAGAGCCTACATTTCTAGCCAGCGGCTGGACGATACCCGTGATTGTCTCCGGACCACATTTGAACAGCGGGATTTTAGTATTCTCTTCCCGTTGTCTCTTCCCAGTGGTTGCAGTAATGATAACTCTCTGGCAGCACCTCACTCCCACTCTGATGTACAGTCACGTGATTTTCTGAGGTCTGCAAGGACCTGATCAATTCTGAAACTGAAGGACATCCATATTCCATTATTGCTCAGCATTATTTCATGATTTTCAGCCTTCATGATTTCCATCTCCATAGAAATGTCTCATGCAGAGGACCCCTGACTTGCCTGAGGTCATAGCCAATTGCTCCTAAGAGCCTCAGTTTCTGCTTTTCTGAGCAGGGTGTCTTTCTAAGTGGAAATCAGCATCTGTCCCCTTTCTAGCTTGTTATCATAATTGAAATGATAGCTCAATTTGAGATCATCTGCATGGAGAGTTTCTAAAATAACACAAAGAGACTTTCTCAGAGTCCGGGAAGAATCTTCTCCTCAGCACTGGAACAGTACATCTACTACATTATGTACTGGGTGTTTATTCTGGCCAGTGGGTTTCTATGGGAACAGCCTGGGGTGCCTTCTGGAAACTAAGGTAAATTCTCTGGGAGAAAGGACTTCCTTTCCCTGCCTGGAAGCCCCACCATTGTTCTTATAGAAGAAGCCACACAGGACCTTGGCTCTCTGTTTGACTCAAGCTCTGGTCACCCTTCAAATGAAAATCACTAAGAACATTTGTTTTATGCATGGTGCATTTTATTTCTCCATTTTAGTGATATATTACTATTTAAGTTTCCGCATCAGATATCTGAGATGTCTTATTATTCAGTTCTTCAGGGAGGGTAGATGTAAAGTGATTATTACAGTATATTTTTAATGGGTATTTTTCCTTCCGTGTTTGTTCTCTTTGGCTTCAGTTTTTCTGATTTGAGTACAGTAGTGTGTGTGTGTGTGTGTGTGTGCGTGTGTGTGTTTTAATTTATTCTTGTAAAAAATCAGTTATCCTGTGTGTATTGCTCCCTAAAAATGAAAATCTCTATATGATATTTGTGGTCTATATGATATCTGTAGGCTGCATTTTGTGAATGAACAGTGCTGCATGCCACATGGCATATAAAGACAGACAGAGACTAGGAGAGGTGGGCAGGGAGCCAGGATTCCTTTCCTACCCTGCTATTAGCTGTCCTTTTGATCTAAGATAATGCTACCTAATCTCCATGGGCCTTCCTTTCCTTATTAAAAGTAAATGGATTAAGTTATCTCTTGTAGTTCTAATACCTAGAATTCTGTCCCTTGGAGTTTAACTTCTTTAGTTCTTGTGATCACTTAGGTTTTACTGATTACATTTTAAGTAGATACTTATCTGATACCATATCTCAGTCTGATTGTAGATAGGGTGTTTGATGATGAAGATTATGATGATAACGTTTCCCATAGGTAATTAATCCTATCCATGACTTGTAGATAGATACATGCTAAGTTTGGTCACAATACTTTGTGACCTAAGAGTCCTACATTTTTCTGTGACCTTGTTTTCAATTTGTAAATCCATCTTTGTTCCGGGTCCATAAGGTCTTCCTGTAAGTCGTACACCTTCTGTCCTAGCTTAACTAGTAGCTGAGTAAGGATGTGACAGGACCATTTATCATCTTGGTTACCCTTACTGTAAGAGTAGCATTTATGTCCAATTGTTTTAACTTGTGTTCAGATTCATTATGACTTCCTGACATCTTACCAGTGGATTTTGTCCTTTACTTAGATTTATGACTCTTGTTTCTGCCTCTAGAACTGTATAGTAGATCTGATTTGAATTACTGGTCATATTCTCATTTTTCCTATTAAAAGAATAAGTTTTTATGTCTTCAGTATGTTTTATATATAGATACATATTATATGTTTTATAGCTGATTATCTTTTCTAAAACTAGTACTACATTTACAGCTACATAAGAAAATTGAAATTGTCCTCATTTATCAAAGTCAAATTCAGAAAGACTTTTTAAGTTTAGCTTTTCTCAAAGTACATATCATTGTCCTGGTAAACTTTGTTTTAAAGTTGACTCTAAATGTGAAAATTTTTAAACAAAGGGAAAGTGAAGTATTTGGCTTCATCAGCATCTAAATGATTTAAATGCATCAGGGGGCCACTAGGAGAACCCTGAGATACCTCGCCATCTTTTGGCAACACTCAGGCGGCTAGACAAGAGTGGTCTGCACACCATGGGAAAATTGGTGCTTCTCCATACCCAGACTACAGATTATTTCTCCACTGAGGATTAATTGCTTTAGAGTAAGAAAATAATCGCTTCTCGGCCTTTTGGCTAAGATCAAGTGTAGAGTAAGAAAATATTCTTTGTCTTCATATAAAAACAGATAAATCAGTGTTAAAAGAACAACCAGTTTATAAAATAATGCATAGGTTGAAAGTAACCATTAATCACTGCTGAAATATCTAAGCGATTGATTAGCCACTGTTAGATCCACGCCTATTAGTGTCTTTCACCACTTCACTCACGTGCCTTGTCACCACACTTCTGTTTAAGATTAACAAGTTGTATTTGCTTTAAAACGATATTTATTGGCTTAAGTGATGAACATTCTTTTCTTTAGACCTGTCAAGATAAAGCTGCTGTTTCTCTCTTCCCTCCTGTATGTTGTAAGGCGCGAGGAATTATACTGTAAAAGCTAAGCACAACATCTGAAATGCCATCACTAATAATCACCATGGGAACCAAAGATCTCTGATGTCACACTGCCCGTACCATTTCCAAAAGGGCAAATAGGACTGTCGATAGCCACTATTTAAAAAACCATTTAACACTTCTAACAAAACGAGAGTTTGTTTTGCTTTTGGCAAATTTGGCGAGGTGTCAGATTTAATCATGTCACTGTTTCAATTTGCCAAGCTAATTACTATGCAGTAAGGCGAACAGCTATTCCCCAAGCTCCCCCTACTACCTTCGTCATAAGCAGTATTTTATTTGTGTCCTTTCAAGTGGAAAATTAATATGGCCATTGGCCAAGAATTGTACGAGGCTGATGGTTCGTTCACACAATGATGATGAGGAAGGAGGAAAATGTCTCAATGGTTGGTCACAGAAACCACACTGAAGTCAGAGGCTGATAGCTGTTCTGTTGAAATGTATTGAAAAGCCCAAGAAAAGGAGGAGAGAAGAATTTAAATATAGGGAAATGAAATAGTCACTACTGAGATGGGAGATGAGATCACTTTTAATCATGATAGTTAGAGTTATGTGACCTGAAAGCTCTGGGATCTGTAATCCCCAGTAGTCAAAAATCAATGTGCCTGTGTTTTATATAACCCAGTGTGGCTTCCCGGGACTAAAATTAATGGTCTTGTACCTCAGAGCCACTGATTAATGAAGTCACACATGGGCAGAAAATAGCAGTTGTTTTGTTTCCTTAAACTACAAATGGCTGAGATTTGCTTCCCGAAACCCAGAAACGGCACCTCTTTTCTAGACTACTGCACATCTCCCTCTGTTTCAGGTGCAGGTTGATTTATTCTTTGTATCATAATCTAGCTGAAAAGAAGGGTACATCTGCAGTGTGGTCTCTGTGATAATGGACTCCTAATCCTCGCTGAAGTGCCTAGGAAAGGTTTTCTTCATTACGGGGAGCTGTTTGCTAATGGACATGAAAGCCTGCCAGGCTCAAACCTGTTTGTGCCCCATGTGCATGTGTTAATCTAGGACTTAGCAGAAAGGACCGGGAAAGATCGCTTCCTCTTTTGTACCTCTTCTTCATCCATTTACATAATGTTTCTTTTTAATAAATCACACACACACACACACACACACACACACACACACACCCCACATCCTCTGACTACATGCATGTTTTCTGTGTTCTGTGTGTTCCTCTTCCATTTTGGTGTTCTAATACTTATCGTACATGTTCTTTTTTGATGCCTGTTCCAGTAGAATGTTTATCATTATTAGCGTCTTTCTTTTTGTAGACAATGGCTACAACATAAATTGTTGCTTTACTATAAGAACTCTATT